AAAATTGCAAAAAAAAAAAAACAAACAAACAAAAAAAAAAAAAAAAAAAAAACAGAAATAAAATTGATATAAGCAAATTAAAAAAAAGAATCAATAATGAAAGATAAAAAATTATTAAATATATAAATAATTGAGTAAATAGATAAACAGATAAAGGAATAATAAAATAAAATAAATAAAATAAGTAAATAAAATAAATATCAATATTAATATTTTACAGAGAAATAAAGATTTTATAGAAACAATCAATTCATTTCTTGCTCTGAAGTGTTAAGAAGGTTTCGATGTCACTGGGTGAAAAGTCCAGTTTCCGCAAAACTGAAACTATATGGAAACCTTGCTGAAACTTGACGTTGAAGTTTCCTGTATGGTTTCCGCAATGCGGAAACTATATAATAGTTTCAGCAAGTTTCTGTAGGGTTTCCGTATGCTGAAACTATTAGGCTTGTTTCCAAATAGTTTCCGCAAAACGGAAACCAATATAAAATTTAATGAAATGTCAAGTTAACGATACTTTTTAGTTTCAGTAGGTTTCAGTTTCCGGAAACTATTGATTTCGATTCCATATGGTTTCCGCATGCTGAAACCGAACTGAAACTTTTTCTTTTCTTTTTTTTCAAATGGGTAAAAAAATCAACTCAAATGATTTTTTTTACTATTGATTTCGATTCCATATGGTTTCCGCATGCTGAAACCGAACTGAAATTATTTCTATTATTTTTTTTACAAAAGGGTAGAAAAATCAACTCATATTATCTTTACTATAATAATAATTGATTTTGATTCTGTATGGTTTTCGCATGCTGAAACCGAACGGAAACTGTTTTTTTTTATTATATTTTTTTTTTCAAAAGGGTAAAAAAAATCAACTCATATCATATTTTTATTTACTTATACATTTAAAAAAATGGTTTTATTTTTAAATATCTACTAGTTCATATTCAGATTTTTAGATGTGCTCTTTGTAAACTTACTCATACCGATATTGATTTTAATGATAAGCACTTTACACAAGATACTTGCTTCTTATTAGTTTATTTCATATTGAACTGGAATTAAAAAAATATCATTTTAAAACAAAATCGATTCCTCTCACCAGGATTTTCTACATAACCCAACTCGAGACTCCCCCTCTGGAATTAATTCTTTTCATAACATGCATTATTTTCAAAAAATATTACTTCTGTATGAGAACAAATCAAGGGTTATATATGGAGGTTCCTCTGTCTACAATTACATTTAATGTTAATTTGTTTAAAAAAGAAAATTAGTGTGTCTTCATGGTGCATGAAATACAGATAATTACGAGAGCAAACGTTTACATTATCTGAGATAGCAAGTTTTGCATTTTTTTCCTTATACATGTATATCTATATTCCTGAATGGAAAATTATCATTTAAATAATTCAATTTGTTAACAACACATACTGACTAGGAAGCCTTTTTTACTACTCATTGTTCGACATAAGATATATAGTGCAATAATTACTAGTTGTTTTTATAATTACATTGATCATGTTGATTTAATATCTATATATATGTATTTTTTATCTCCGTTCTCATGAATACATTTTATTCGTTTAACATGCGTTAATCTTATTCGAAAGCCGCGGGTAAATATTGCACGAAAACAGTCATGTCCTGAACATTTGATGCCATGGTTCTTAAGATCTGCAGCATATTATGTCAATCTAATTAAAATTAAATCGTCTCATTTATTTCCCATATGCTTATTCGCACGAGGAAGACTTATTAATGTAAAAAGTCTGTTTTTGTGAAACCAATACCCTGGGAGCGAATGGAAAATCTCATTTTAATTAGATTGCATATTATGTATAGGCTTTTTATTTATTTATAATTTATTTATTTAAATTTATTTATTTTTTTTCAAATATCTTGCTTTCGTGATGTTAATTAATGCAATATTACTGAAAACGCGGTACCTATACTTTTTAGTAATATGTTCAATTATATTCGTATTGAGATGTATAATGTGCTAAAGAAGAAGGTACAGTTTCAATACAAATAATGCCCAATATTTTTCTAAAATATGAAAGTGATTTAAGAATTTAAAATTCATTTTTTCTGAATCATAGGAATTCTTTGCAGTAAGAATAAACAAATGGTTTTTCTCATATGACCTTCTAAATGCCAATTGTGACGTCATTAACTTGTGCATTTTCCCGTATTTTCTTAAAAAGTTGCAGAAGACCTCAATTTTCACTGGGATTTTCTTTCAGAAAACATACTCTGCCACCGTCGCCCGGAAAGATTTTAAGATATGTGATTTTTCATAGATGTTTGCACAATATATCCAAAAATCAAAGCGGGCGACGGTGGCAGACACTATTTTCTATAGGAAAATTTGCAGAAAAACGAATCATTTTGAAACTTTTCTGCATTAAACTTTAAAATGTGCCAAATTAATGACGTCATATATCAAGAAACTTTTTAAGGCTCTTCTTCATGCCATATTCTTTAATGATTTATCGTATTCATCTACTCAACTATTGTTAAAGCCAATTTCATAACTTTTTAAGAACATTAAATTTTTAGGGCACAATAAAGCTCAAACCGTACCGTCTTCTTTGTGATTTAAAAACACTTCTTTTTTTAATAAAAGTAGTATGTAAGTTGATCAAATTTTCAATCCTTTTCTTTGAACCCCGCTCGCGGGCACCTGTCCTCACGTGCCACAGGTGTGGAGACACGTGTCGCGAAGACACCTGCCACCGTGTTGGTGTATTTTTTGTATATTCTATGTGGATTGAGAGGTTTTTCTACCTTAGAGGAACAATGGCCTGTGACCAGGCGTAATATATACATGCAGTACAAGGTATACACAGTATAGTCACTAGTAATGACCCCAAGGTGTCCGAATTCAAAATTTTAAAATTAAAAAAAAAAAAAAAAAAAAAAAAAAAAACACTCTATATATATATAAAACTTCACCTAAAATCAAGCAAATAAGATTGTTTTATAAAATATTTTATATTAAATGTTTCATATAAAATATTAAGTTTATTATGTGTTGGTGATTGAAAGAAAAAAAGGAAAAACCTCTCAGATATTTATCTATTATAGATCAATCTAATAAATAATAAAACTAATCTACAGGTAAGGAGAATATTTGCTAGTTCAATATACTATTTAAAAAAATTCAGTATTATTTTACAATTGCTCCACAAAGAAATCGGCAATCACAAAAAAATCGACAATTAATGGTATTCCTTGTTTGCCACCATTGTTAACTTCAAATATTGAAAATATTTAGAGATCGATGACACGCAACCGAATGAAAACAAAGTCTATGAATTTTATTTCATAACTTTTTTCTGTAGGTTATTTCTAAGTACACAATAAAACAACGTTTTATTTCTAATTTAGAGTCCAAAACAGAAAAGTGTGAGGTTACAATAATAAGGAAAAGATAAAAAAAGGTAATTCATTTAGTAAACAACAATATACAAGACATGTGTAAAGGACTGTGACTACCATTACATGATATCATTTATAAATTTGCCCGCGAAATTAAGTTTCCGTATCTTCTGTATTGAGTAATAACCAATAATTTTTTTGTTCATCATCTTATGCTGAGAAGTAGCGCTATTTACTATTAATGGAATGAATTTTTTTTTCTTTGTAGATCATCTTTTTTACATGACCGTGTTATAAAAAATGAATTTTGATTATCATTTATACTGTTGGAATTATATCTACATAATCGATCTTCTCGAGAAATATTGGTAAATTTGACCACTTCAATTTCTAACCTGTGACAGGAAATTCTTAGTTAAGATATAGACTTAATTGTACATGTAGATATTTTCTGAGATGGAAATTTTTAACAATTGATTAATAATTCCTATAACCCCAATTTTGCTTTTGAGTTTCACAAAGGTATAAAAAGCAATACCAGAGAGAGAGAGAGAGAGAGAGAGACAGAGACTCATACAACGCATTCTAATATACATGTAGTTTGTAATTTTTTCATCGTTTTATTTAAGTTACGTAGGTCAAAATTAATCATTATATAATTCACTATATAACATTGATTATAAACTTACATGTACTTTGTTAATTTATCTATTCTATATTTTAGGACACAAATTAAAATGTATCCCATAGATTAAGATTTTAAAAAACATATAAACATAAATTTGCAGACTTGTGATAAAGTTTTAACCAGCTAATTCGTAACGCTAACTAGAAGGGGGGGGGGGGGGGAGGGGAGGTAAAATCGCTCTTGTTTGTGGATAATATGCCATCAGCATAACTTTGCTGACTTGTATACTTTTTTTTACACAATAATCTAAGTACATGTGTATATGATTTTCAATCTATTTGTAAAAATCTGGAGAGTCCGTTTCAACAATTACATGATAATCATGCTAATAAGGGACTTAAAATACGGTTTTATACCCCACTTCAATTCCATGATCAATTTTATTTAAGCATTTAAAACTGTTTATTCTGTTGTCATAAATGCAAGGACGTCTGCAATTAAAACGTAAAAAAAAATATTGCCAAAGGAGAAATACAAAAACTAAGGTGAATTTTCCGTAGAGACTGACATTCAATCACTAGGTGGCGTATCGCGATAGAATGCTTCTCTCTCATTGGTTAGATTTTGAGTAGAAGAAAGAGGGACAAAATGGCGAAGAAAACACCAAGAACTTGCTCAAGAAAAACAACAGAGATGAAAAGATCTTTTGACTCGACACAGAAGAAAGGCACCTCAAACGACAGATTAGATACAGGTAGTTATTTCTTACACTTCAGAGCACCTTTATTTTTGTTTTTATTGACTGCAATCGTAAGAATAAAGTTTGGTCAAAACGGCGCGTTCAAAAAATTCAAATTGACCATTGCACAGTTATAATTATTTTGAAAAAGCGCCTTGTAAATCATTCTCAGCTTATCGTGTTTCCGCTCCGCTACAGAGCCGAGATCGAGGGAAAACGATAGAGTAAACTTACCACTGTTTATTGTATGGAAAAACAGGTAATAATATAGCAAATAACTGCAAACACACTGACACAGTGACAAATCTGGCGCCCTTCTCTCACACACCGGAAAACGTGCTTCTGTTGGGTACCGGTGGGATTCGACCCATAGGCAAAAATGCCCGGTATCGAAAACCACCACACTCCTCCCCATTTTGATAATATTACGATTTACATTAAAACCAATCATAATTCCAAATTTAAGCAACATAAACAAACTCTCGTACTAACATTCATATACGATATATATGATACAAATATCAACACTTAATAATGTAAAGATATTATGAAATAGAACACAATGAACAGTCAATATGCCGAGCGCGAAACAGTTCACTGCATCAAATTGTCCAGCTGCGATTCCTTCGCAATCCTGCGCATCGGTTTGGCATCTACGGAATTGGCTTCTTCGGTCTCCATCACTGCTTCTTTAGTTGCACTCCAAAGAAGGACTTGAAGTTCTCATGGACTTCATTAGCCAAGAGAGACAGCGGCTTACGTCGGAGCTCTGCCACCCTCCGGTATATGGTACCAATGTGCTTCGGGGTCATTGGGAACGGAACAGAACATGGCATATATGGACTGTCTGTTTCCACCAGAAGCTTGTGGTCTGGAATAGCCCTCACTCCTGCTTGCTGGAGAGGCGACATCCTAAATACTTTCCCGCTCACCCCAAAGTAGACGGGTCGTCCAGTGCGAAACCACAGGCACACCTGGTCCGGGCCACCAGTGAAACAATGTAGGTAGATAGGTGCCAAAGTAGGGACACCCAGGCCATCAAGAAGAGTAATACAGTCCTGTGTGGGAACCAGTCCGAGAGGGTCATCCTCTGCTCCCCGGAGATGGAGGACCATATTGGTCGAAACATCCGCCCTGCGGAAAAACTCCGCCAAGATAAACTTCTGCTGGCGATGCCCCCCTATGGTATAGTCCAAACCAATCTCTCCCGTCGCCCATGTATTACTGCGGCAGAGTTCTACAATGACCCGCACATCATCACTATTGGCTCTCGAAGCCTCCTTCGGGTGGATCCCCCTGGCAATAACCCACTGCTTCCTAAGGATTCTCTTTGGCACATCATGGGGCTCATCCAGTCCATAGATAACACACCCTCCGGTAAGTGTGACTGGTACCTCAACTGGCCTTTTGTCCAGGGTGGTGAAGACATCTAAGTCACCCGTAAAAGGGTCTGGCAAACGTCCTGGATGCCAGTGGCAATCAACGACAACAACAGTCTGGTCCGAATCCTCTCTAGGAGATGTAGTAGACTTACTAGGCCCCTGAGACACAGCGGGTACCTCCGCTCTAGCATGTGTCACCTCACTGTCCACCTGAACTGGCTCAGGCTGGACCAGCTCGTCCTCCCAGGACTCAGCGATGTCGGATTTCGACTTATCCAGGTCTGACCTGGACCGTTCCCACTCTCCACGCCAGTGGCCTCTCCGTGTGGCCTCATTGATAGCAAGGGCCATTAGTCTTGGATGGACCAGTAAGGCAACATGAGTCACCTTTCCCTTGCTCACATCACTGATTTGTCGGCTACTGGGAGGTACAATCCCCAAATATGTTGACACGCCAACAGCAGCCTCACGAACCGGCCAAGAGAAACCCCAGCTGACCCTTCCAAGCTGGCTCTGTATCCAAGTTCTAAGTCTCCCTAAAGAGACCAATGCCCTCTTGTCTTCGGTAGGTCCGAGGATCTGAGCAGAGAGCTCCACAAGGACATTGATGAAATCAATCGGTTCCCTGGCCTCTTTGGCATGATCCCGCCAAATATGGTATTGCATGGGAGTGGCCCCTGTGAAAACCTCACCACACCTATCCACTGCACACTTGCGTACTCCCCTAGGCCTCTTCTCCATGTCCTCTGGCCTGGCTTCTGCTGCATCCCTGGGGGGAGCCGTAGCTTGAGAGGCATCTTCCTCCTCCGAGTCACGCAATGTTATAGAAACCATCTCGGCCCAATCTGAGGTCTCCGCACCCTGCGGACTCTGTCCGGACACGCCTTTTGGCTTGTCTGTGTCGTCCAGCTCTAAGAAAGACTCTTCCTCGTCGAACACAAAAACATCAAATGTCTCCTCCATAGCTGAATCTACAAATGAAAATATAATCAAAATATAAACAAATACATTCTCCGAGTTCTCTCGGCTACCCTAAAAAAACCTTCAAGATCTTAAGGGTCACAAACCCCTAACTATTTACAATTCATTTTTGTTTTCTTAGTTTTTCTCATTTCCCTTTATGGGAGAGCACTCAGGGCAAATATACTGAGGCATACTCTGCGCATCATACTCTGAAATTCCGACACATTCGGGATGGAACCAATCTTTACAAAAATCACATTGAACCATCAACCCTTTAGGATTCTGCTTTTTGCACAGACAATATGACTTTTTACTACGGTTTTGCTTTCGATGTTTAACATGTTCAGACACAACCGACTCACCAGTTCCCATTCTAGATCTACTACGTGCCCTAGTACCCATATACGGACCACTTTGATGTCTTATCTCTGTTTCCACTGCTGCACTGTCCTTGACAGTAGGGTGGTTGCTGGGCAAGTCCGACTCACCTTCATTTTCCAGCTGGTCATCACTATTTACCTCACCTTGCAACTGTTCTCTGAACTCAACTAACCATTTAGGTAAATTTCGTGCTTCACACTTTTTCAGTTTGTCATGATGCATGATTTTTATCTCACGACGTGCCTTTACAGCATATACAGTGTCAGACTTTAGTTGAACTATAATTCCTGGACCCATCCACATTGACTCGACCTTCTTACCCGCATTGCGGCGCCAATATACAAGGTCACCAACCTTGAACTTACCTGTCCTCATTCTTAGGTCATGTGCCCTTTTCATCGACTTCTGAGCAGATTTTAACTTTTTTCTTGCAAGCTCATGTGCTTTCTGCATATTCTGCTCTAGTTCCCGCACATACTTATCTACCTCACCCTCCTCCCCATTTTGAAAAAATTCAGTAGGAGGTGGGCTGTACATCAAAGTTGCTGGGATGTTTACCTCCCTGCCCAGCATAAGTCTGTTTGGTGTATAACCAGTATGGCGGTTAACTGCTGACCGCAATGCTCCAGCCAAAGTACCTAAATATTGGTCCCAGCTCTTAGGTTGACCATCAACATAACAGCGCACAGCATCCATGAGTGTGCGATTATAACGCTCAACCTGGCCATTTCCAGATGGTCTATATGGTGTCGTGCGAGCTTTGTGTATTCTCAAGGTTTCACAAATTCTACGAAACAATTCGCTCTCAAAGTTCCTTCCCTGGTCAGTAAATATTTCATACGGATATCCAAACCGAGCGAAGAAATCATTTATTGCAGCTCTAGCAGTAACTTCCGCTGTCTGCGAAGGCAATGGTATGCACTCCACCCATTTGGTAAAGCTGTCTACTAGCATCAGTATATATTCATTTCCCTGTTCTGTTCGAGGCAAAGGTCCAAGAAAATCGAGATGGACTTTTTCCATTGGACTACCTGCTTGATAGCTCTTTAAAGCAGCTCTGTTTGGTAATGGACCTCTTTTATTTCTACAACAGATGTCGCACGTCAGCACATACTGTTTCATGTCTGCGGCCATCCGCCACCAATAGAACTTTGTCTTCAACCTCTCTTTAGAACGTTGAATACCCTGATGTCCAGAAGATGGTATATCGTGGCATAGGTATAAAACCTCTTCTCGGTTTACTTTTGGAATCAAAAGTCTTGGAGCATCTTGTTCCATTTCTGGTTTTCGCCAAATCACACCATTCTCATCTAGCAGAAAACAGTCTCGCTCAAGCACATAACACTTTGTCTCCGGGCTGGAAATCATCAATTCCCCCTCGCTTGGCAAAATTCCTGACTTTAAGTAGGCTCTTAGGAATGTCATAGACTCATCTGCTTGCTGTTGTTTAGCCATGTCCTCTGCATTGAAAGAAGACAGTGAAATTCCTTCCCTTTCTGGCTGACTGTCCTTCTCGCATCCTTTTGATATCTGACAAACAGACCTATCTCCATCAGACATGTCTATTTCTAATGATGTTCCCTCATTTTCATTTGAAACTACAAAATGCACTGACGGAAAATCAGAGTTCTTTATGCCATGACTCAAAACGTCTTGAGTCCCAGATGCTAACAACTCCTGTACCTTCAAGTCAAGAGGCTTTATATACCCATTGCTAGATGTACTTAAGCTAGGGCCCTCTTCAAACAATTGTGCTAAGGGTATAACATCATCAATGTCAGTACTGAACTCATGCCAACGCTCGTGAGCTCTGCGGCAATATTTGCAGCCTCCACAGGGTAAATCCTGGAGTTGAACTTTGGATGAGTAACTCTGACAATCATCAGCAATACTTCGTGACAAGGCATCAGCATTAATATGCTTTTTACCAGAGCGGTGCACTATCCGCATGTTATATTGACTGAGTTCTTCAAGCCAGCGAGCAATTTGGTTCTGTGGCTGTTTAAAGTTCATAAGCCACACCAGACTGTGGTGATCAGTTCTGACTGTAAACTCACGACCAAGCAAATAGTGTCGAAACTGGCGAGTAAACTTGATTACAGCTAAAAGTTCTTTACGGGTAGTGCAATAACGGCGTTGCTCTGTTGAGAGTACTGCACTGCCATATCCTATTGTCCTCTCATGTCCATCTTGGACCTGACTCAGCTCACCGCCAACTGCGAAATCCGAGGCATCTGTATCAAGAATGAAATGCCCTGAACTTGTCGGTATTGCTAAAACAGGTGGCTTGAGCAATAAACTAATCAGTTTATCAAAGGCTTCCTGTTGCTCTGTGTCCCAGTGAAAACCCTTTTTCCCAGTCAAATCATATAGTGGAGCAGCTATTTGTGAGAATCCAGGGATAAAACTTCTATGGTAGTTGGCAAACCCTAAAAATTTCTCAACTGCCTTTACATCGTGAGGTATTGGCCATTCACGTACTGCCTCCATATACTGGTCTCCCATTTCAACACCCTCTTGACTCACAGTGCGACCCAAGAACTCAACTTTAGGACGAAAAAGCTCACACTTGCGGGGCTTGAACTTCAGTCCAAATTTGCGGAAACGCTCAAATACCTGGCGCAAATTGTTCAAATGATCTCGTTCTGTTCTCCCTAACACCAGAACATCATCAAGGAAAGCAAGTGCTATCTTCCAATTTAGGCGGTGCAATACCAAATTTATTGCCCTGGCAAATGTGGCGGGGGCATTACACAAGCCAAACCCCATCCGTGTGAACTCAAATAGGCCATATTTAGTTATAAAAGCCGTTTTCTTCCTGTCCTCAGGCTTGAGTTTTATTTGCCAGTAAGCTGCATTGGCATCTAATTTAGAAAAATATTTATTTCCTGCTAGAGTGTCCATACATTCCTCTATTAGCGGCAAAGGATAACTGTCTTTGATGGTAACCTTATTCAGTGCGCGATAGTCAACGCACCATCTCACGCTTCCATCTTTTTTACGGACAAGGACTGGTGCTGAAGCCCAATCAGAAGTAGACGGCTGGATTACTCCAGCTTCCAGCATTTTATCCAAGTGGCCCTCTTCCTCCCCCTGAAAAACAGCAGGAGTTCTGCGCATCCGCTGCTTAATAGGGCGTGCATCACTTGTATCAATGCAATGCTCTATTTCTGAGAAATTACCCAGGTCAAGGTCATTGATAGCAAAAACATCTGAAAATTCAGTGACTAGGTCAACCGCCTCCTTGCGCACTTCTGTTGGCGCATTCTTCTCTAAATCCCTGATTATTGAACTAACATGTTCACAATCCTTTTGCCCCTCTGTTAACACCCGACGCAATGAGGGCTCACCTTCCCTGACTGCATGAGCTGCTGTTGCTTCCCCAACAACACTTCCTGTTTTAATAATATGACTTCTGTCAGTTAGGTTCATGACACACAGCTTACCTACTTTCCCTGAGGCGTTATAAGTTCTAGAGGCAACAATGCCAGAGGGGAAAACACTAACTGGTTCAATGATGAAATCTGGCATCTCAGCATCTAGGTGGCACTCTATTACTTGAGCAGTGTGTGGAGGAATCCGCACCCTACGGGAAGATATAGCATTGAGCACTTGCCATGGACCCTCAGCAAACATCTTAATTGTACCTGTTATTTCTTTGATTCGCAAGATTCCAGTCTCGCAGGAAATTTGTGCATCATGCGCCCTAAGGAAATCAATTCCTAAAAGCATCTCATCCTGTAATGGGCCTACATAGACCGGATGCTCAAATTCGTATCCACCCATAATAAGCGTTACCTTACCCAAGAACTGGGCATTCATACCAGTTCCTTCACCCGCAAGTCTGATGCTTGATTCCTCTACAACATGCGGCTTTGGTAACATAGAGTCATATACTTTCTGGGAAACAATTGTTATATCTGCGGCTGTGTCAACTGTGGCATTTATTTGTAACCCTGCAATCTCTACTGGAACACGCCATGCACCTGAATTTTCACCTTTATTACCAGACTGCACAGACGGTATCACATGGGCTGCATTGACAGACGGGTTCTCCGCAAATGTCACATTTTTTACAGTAGATGTCGGCACCGACACCTTTGGCTCTGTTTGACCTGTACCCCTATTATTCCCGGATGGAGAAACCGAATTACGAGTCCGTAACCTATTTGGACAGTTTCTCCTTATATGTCCCGACTGCTTACACTCAAAACACACAACTGACCTTGAATTCACCAGGCGGCTGGGACTAGATGACCCTTGTGACCTTGAAAATTGTCTTGGACTGTGACCTCGGCTCTCACTTTGTCTATCACTTAAACCCCGAGACCTCTCACTTGTTCGTCCCCTATCAACATATTCAGGTGACCTTTGACTGACAGGTGAGATTGACCTTGAGTAGCTAGTATCAGAGACTGACCTATCATTAGAAGTGGACCTAACCGCCTTTTGGCGACGAACAATAGCGCGTCGACTTAATTGGAATGTCTTAACCCTCTTGATTGCTTCCTCTAGAGTACTCGGTGGGTGATTAATGATCTGCTGACCTGCCTCACAATCTCTACATCCTAAAGCAAACCTCATTATTAATTGTTCCTGAAAAATTTCAGGTGAGGTTCCTCCCCCAAAGGCTTTTCGGGCTGTATCCATTACCCTGTCCCCCCATTGTTCTATGGGCTCTTCAGATCCTTGAGTAATTGAATTAAATTCTAACTGGGAGGCTGCCCGCAGGGCAATTTTTCCAAATCTTTCCTCCATGCGGAGAATAACTTCTTGAAAAGTAAGCCGGGTACCCCTACGGCGCAAAATGTCAAAATATTTCAATGCTGAACCCTCCAAGGTAAGACTAAGGGCAAATAAACAATCAGCGTCCCCCCACCCATGATACTCAGCAATTGTCGAGAATTTAGAGTAGAAAGGACCCCACTCTACATCGCCATTGTACTTAACACCCTTTACCTCTGTGGGTATACTCCTACTTACCCCACTTCTACTACCTGGTGGTATAAGGCTTGGTAATGGAGACCTATGTGTACTTGCTAAAGTAGGACTTGGGATACTACCTGACTGCCACATGTGCGACATAATTGGCTGCCTATTCCCCATCGTAATTGGTGGTCCAGAAGGAGTTCCATGATAACCAGGTCCTGTGGCATTTTGCCAAATTTCATTGGAGCAACCTGGGGTCAAGGGCATTTGGACAGGGGCTCCCCCAATACCTCTAGAAACTTGACCCCCTTACCTGAGACCTCTGATCAGCATTTCCACTCCTGATAAAACCTCCTGATTGTAACGAGTCTGACAATATGGTACTAGGTAACCCAAACCCGAGGCCAGTTGAGCTACAATAACCAGCTGTAAAGTTATGGCTCGGCTCTGTCCCAGACACTTCCGCAATACCCCGTGAGAAGCTGGCATTAACCTGCCCCCCTGCGGAGACAGATCCAACTGAGCTGCCCACACCCCCTGGACCCCCAGAGAATGCTACACCCTCACTAAATGTAGAAGACCCATGTACTGTCTGTCCAGGAACCCAAGGACTCCCCTGGCTACTGGAAATAAGTGGCTGACTTGCAGCGAGGCTGACAGTAGATGTCTGACTTTCACAAGTTTTATTGGGACCCAACAGACCGCTCAACATTCTGGTTATTCCCCCCAGCTGGGTACCTACCCCCTGTACTTGCACGGTCATACTAGTCTCAAGAGATCCTATATCATTTTTAAGAGAATCTACCCTTTGCGACACTTCACCCCTTAAAGAATTTACCTGCTCAGAAACCTCAGTTCTTAGATCACCCAGACCATAGCCTAAACCATCTACCATACCCTGTAGATTGTCAACTGCTTCCTCAAGTACTTGTTGTCTTTTCTCAAGTTCAGTTATTGACAGTAACTCTTTTTGACTCTGAAGCTTACCCCCCTCCTGAGTGAGCGACATATCAACTTGCTCATACTGGGTGGCATTATAAACAGGGGCACCCTCCCCTCGGGGTGTACTGAACATCTTTGGGTCAAAATGCACCTTGCTTGTATTAGGGACCTTACCCTTACCGATATTCCCTGAGGTACTTCCCAGGCTACCTTGGCCATTTCCCCCAGGCTGGACGTACCGGCCATCCGGATATCTCCGGCCCCCTCTACCTACACCTACAGTTTGCATTTTTTCCATAATGATAAAAATAGTACCTCAATACGCACCAAAAATTGGAAAAACAACAATCAATTCTGCATATTACACATGAATGATCTGCGGAACACCACAAACATGGCACAAATACACATAAATTTTATTACTTTTAAAATGGCGCCAACGACGTTGTCGTCACTGTAGAACTTTTCCCCACTCGTCAACACTTACCACCCTGCTCGCAGCGCCATTTATCGTGTTTCCGCTCCGCTACAGAGCCGAGATCGAGGGAAAACGATAGAGTAAACTTACCACTGTTTATTGTATGTAAAAACAGGTAATAATGTAGCAAATAACAGCATACACCATGCACACAGTGACAAATCTGGCGCCCTCTCTCATACACCGGAAAACGTGCTTCTGTTGGGTACCAGTGGGGTTCGACCCATAGGCAAAAATGCCCGGTATCGAAAACCACACTTTCATCTCTCAGAACTCTATCATGCACAATAAACAACGATAACAGAAATGACAAATAAACAAATTATAAATCCATGCTTGTCCACTCGCTTTCTCTCTAACTAAGTCAAATCACACTCTTGGGAAACAGGGCTACAACGCCTGCGCCGCGCACCTGCAACCTATCACTCACTCATTTACAATTAATTAACTGGGTGATTGCTCTGTGACATACCTCCCCTCTTAAGTGTGGCGTCCCGACACACTAGTAAAATTACATGTAGTAGACTGATAATGACAATTTGATATCGCTTACAAGAATCACACGTTCATAGATAAAGAGACCTTACTACACACAGAAATAATAAAATAGTTTTACATGCACACACATTTCATGTTTTATCTTTTTTTTTCTTAGATTTTTGCGTTTTATCTTTACATTTTTTTTTTTTAAAACAAATGTTCATTTTAGATATACATTATATACACAACCTACGTATATACACTTCGATTATTTATTTCTTTGACTGAATAAAATCTTGTACAATCCTAAAGTCTTTGATTTCATTTTCACCTAACCACTGGGTGTGTCCGTTCTGAAACTACACAAAATAACGTTTCTCTAACCGCTTGGAGTCGTTTCTTGACCGCATCATATCTAATACTTTGACAATGGGACCGTTGTCATCGGCCGTCTCGTCTTCGTATCCAACGTCCTCGTCCGGGATATGGTCGTGATCAGGGCGGTCATTAGGATCAAGATACGGCTTCATCCTGTTAGCATGCGCTGTCAAAGTTTTTGACTTGTGATCAGGGTCCTGTAGTCTGTAGGTAACATTAGATAATCGCTCGATGATCTCGTATGGTCCGTGCCAATTATGGGTAAGTTTAGGAGAGAGTCCAGGTTAAGTCGTTGGAGTAAATAACCATATTTTGTCACCTTTAGTATAATGAGTCTCTTTCGCTGCACGGTCATGATGTTCCTTCTGGTTTTGTTGACATTTTTGTAAGTTTTCTTTGACAAGCGTGTAGGCCTCTTGAAGGCGGACTTTTGCCTCTTCCTTATAGTCGTCTGCTACAGCGTAAGAAAATGTTGGCGGACAGAGCACGGCTTCAACGGGTAGAACAGGATCTCGCAAGTGCATCAGGTAGAAGGGTGACTCTTTTGTAGTCTCGTGGATGGCGGTCCTATATGCAAACAGTATGTATGGTATAAAGGTGTCCCAGTCACGCTGATGTCCTGACACATACATTGACAACATTGTTGTGAGTGTTCCATTGAAGCGCTCCACTAGGCCATTGGTCTCCGGGTGGTAGGCAGTAGTAAAAGTTTTCCTGGTATTTGTTAATTTGCATATTTCCTTTATCAGGTTTGATCTAAAGTTCTTACCATTATCTGATAGTAGCTCTCTAGGCGCTCCGTGACGACACACTATTTCCTCTACAAAAAGTCGCGCAGTCGTTTCTGCATCTGCATTGTTTACGGCAAATACTTCAGGCCATCGAGTTAGGTAGTCACTGAACACAATAATGTACTTATTGGACTTGTAGGTTGGCGGGAATGGTCCAAGGACATCTACAGCTACTCTGTCGAATGGTCCATTAACTACCGGTAGCGGGTTCAATGGGCACTTTGGTCTGTTTTTCGGTGATTTCTTGGTAGCACAGTCTACGCATGATCTACACCAAAACTCTACATCTGAATACATTCCCTTCCAATGAAATCTCTCTTGGACTTTGTCATACGTTTTCTGGAAGGAGAGATGACCTGCTGTCAGGTCGTCGTGACAGGCATACATGACTTCGTCTATCAGGCTCCTTGGAACAGCTATTTGGCGTCTAATAGCTTGACGTCGTCTATGGGATCCAGGCTGCCAAAGATGATATAGCAGACCATTGTGTCCGAGTTCATAATCACCAGATAATATTACCGTCTCACGGGCCTTTGAAGATAATTCAGGCAACTCTCCCTTCTCTAAATAATTAATGATAGCGGCTAGGAGAGGGTCATTTTTCTGACGGTCGCGGATGTCCTGATATGACCTTTTTGGTATCACATCTGCGTCTGCCTTAGCACAGGTGGCTGCTATAGGGGATTCGGCAGGAATTCGAGATAAGGCGTCTGCGTTTTGATGAACCTTTCCCGGTCGATGTTTAATGGTTATGTCATACTCTTGAAGAGTTAATGACCATCGCGCTAGGCGTCCTGCTGGATTCTTAATGTCCATAAGCCACCGTAATGGGTTGTGGTCAGTTATCACAGTAAATTTCCGACCGAATAGATAGTGTCTAAAGTATTTCACACTCCACACAATGGCTAATGCCTCTTTTTCGATTACTGCATAGTTCTGTTCATTTGGTTTTAGACTCCTACTCGCGTACGCTATTGTCCGCTCACCATCTGGACCTTCTTGGGCTAATACGGCGCCTACACCAGTGTCACATGCATCCGTGTACAGGATAAACGGAAGCGAGAAATCCGGATATCTAAGAATAGGAAAGCTGGTCAAAGCTGATTTGAAGAATTCAAAAGCACTCTCGCAGTTATTGTCCCAAATAAATTCGACACCTTTCCTTAAGAGCTTGTGTAAGGGAGCAGCCTTACTTGCAAAATCCTTTACAAACTTACGGTAGTAAGAGATGAGTCCCAGAAAGCTTCTAAGTTCGCTCACATTTGTTGGCTTCGGAAAGTTGTGAATTGACTTTACTTTCTCCGTGTCAGGTGATATTCCGTCAGCTGAGACTTTGTGTCCAAGGAACGTAACCTCCGTTTTTCCGAAGTAACACTTCTTCGCTTTTAGCTTTAACCCCGAATTTTCGAATCGTTTTAGCACTTCCTCAAGTCTTTTGACATGGTCAGAAATAGTTTCCGAGAAGACAATTGCGTCATCTATATACACAAGACACGTGTTCCACAGTAATCCTGAAAGCACAGAGTCCATAAGTCTCTGGAATGTTGGCGCACTGTTACACAATCCGAATGGCATATAATTATATTCATAATGCCCTCCAAAGAAGGAAAACGCAGTCTTTTCTCTGTCACTTTCCTTCATGGGAACTTGGTGGTACCCTTGACACAAATCTAAGACACTGAAGTACTTGGACTTATTAAGTGCATCCAGCATTTCGTCGATCCTAGGGAGAGGGTAAACGTCCTTTTTGGTGACTTCATTTATTTTACGAAAATCGATGCACATGCGAACTTTGCCATCTTTCTTCGGCACCAAAACAATTGGGGCGGAGTACGGACTCTTAGACGGTCGCACAATTCCATTAGCGCACATTGTTTCTATCTGGGATTCCAGTAACATCCGCTGGCTGTGAGGAATCCTATAAGGCCTCAAGTGAATAGGTTTACTGTCCCCTGTATCTATAGAATGTTCAACTAAATCTGTCTTCCCTAATTCATTATCACTGAAAGCAAACACTTTTCTATACTTATCTAATACTTTAGTAATAGACTTGCGTTCCGTTTCACCTAAATCACCAGATACATAGAAATCATCTATCTCTTTCTCACCAGACTCAACTCTCTCACTTATCTCAATCCCATTCAAGTTCTTGTAATTACATGCATCTTGCGCACTTTCGCTAGTCGAACTTGCATCAGAAATAAATGAGATACATTCATCATTTATATATACAGAATCATTTGCAACATCAATATAGCATGCACAGTCCTTCAAAATGTCCAAACCTAAAATACAATCATACGGGAATTCACAAGCAACAAATGCATTATATACAACATCGGTTTGTTCACCAATTCTTAACCTAAAGTCACACTTCCCAACAACAGGCACGTAGCATCGTTTTTGAAAGTGGGGGGGGGCCAACCTGAGAAAAAATATTTTTACTTACCTGAAAAAGTTGACAAGCAAAAAAAAAAAAAAAAAAAAAAAAAAACGAAAATTAAAAGTTGCCCAAACTCGAAAATCCTATTTCGTGGGGAGGGGGGGGGGGGGGGGGGGGGGGGGAGATATAGTGGCCAACCTTTTCAAAGCCAACTTACTATCACTTCAAATTTTTCCCTTACAATCCATGGTATCACTATGCTATGGTTATCAGGTGAGGGGGCCAACAATTCCATCAATGAACATTTACTATAGTAAAGGTTATGTTGAGGAAAAAAGTGGGGGGGCCAGGCCCCCCCTGGCCCCCCCGGATGCTACGTCCCTGAACAATATCGACACGGTTGCCCGTTGCCGATGTAACACTAACTCCTCCAGCCGGCACCATACCAGTCTGGCTTGCGAAAGCTTCATTTATAATCGTGACACTAGATCCGGTGTCGACCAACATCGCAGCACATTTTTCATTCACATATCCTACAATTTTGGCGGTACAAAATTTAGGATTTAATTGACAAGAAACAATATTTTCACATACATTTTTCACATTTTCAACACTTTTTTCACTACTTCCGGAAGAATTATCCTCTTCTCTTTTACGCAACCGGCTGTCTCTAGGAGGGTATTTTGGATCCTCTAGCCCTTTACCTCCACACAAAAGGGCGGACTTTAGTTTTCCGAATTGGCGCTTCTTTGTTGCTCATTGCAACGAACTGCTATGTGTCCTACTCTACGACATTTGTTGCAGATTGGTCTCCCGTCCGTAGTCCTAAGATTTCGGTCTGGTCGAGGGCGGAATCCGAATCCTCGGCCTCTTCCTCCTCGGCTTCCTCCACGGCTTTGTCCTCGAGACGGAGGAACAAATTGCTGTTTCGATGCGAATCTACCGATTTCAGTTGCCATCACTGACACCTTGGCGGTGAGGTCTGCGAGTGACTTTTCCAGCTCTTCCGTTCTCGTAGGAGCGTACGACATGGATGCCACAGTTCCTCTGGCCATCGGGGCATCTGCCAGGAAGTTGTTACATTCTTCCCTCTTCGCATGCCTGAAAGCTTCCTCAAACGTCTTAGGGTTAGAAAGTAACACATACCTCTTGATTTCAGGCCGCAATCCTTGGACGAAATGCTCTTTAGTGAGGGTTTCCTTTTG